GATTGTAACATTCCTCCTTATTTTCAACTGGGAACCAGACGCAGAATAGGCAGTTTCATCGAGACCAGCTACTGATAAGAACATCTTATATTTTCAACCAGACGCAGAATTGGCAAAATCTGTATAGGAGCAGTGACCTGTAGCGGAGCGTCTTATCAAAACTGTGCTTTACTCCTCAAACTCCCACCCCCTTGCTTAGTTAATTTTATACGTAGAATAAGGATATGTAATTAGTCTTAGGAAGAACGTAAAAGAATCAAGTCGTATCGAATATTTTAATAATAAACATCAAGTAAAACTTGTTCAATTTATTATTTACCAAACCTAAAGCTCCATAACAGACAACGTGTCCCTGGGACACGACATTTTATTTATTGGTCCATTTCGAAAAAAACTATATTCAAGAAATATATTGAAAACAGTGTCGCAGCAAGTGTCTGCAATGCGGAAGGGCCCATAAGTATAAAAGCCCTCGCATTGCTCCGACATCATCGACTTATCCATGAAAAAATTGTCCCTTTGATCATGCTTATATTAACTTGTGTTATAACATACTTTATTAATATTAAATTTTTACTCTTGATTCTGTTGATATTATTAAACTATTATATGTTCTTTAGTTTCAATGAAATATGAAATATTCAGAACTTTATATGTTATCAAGTTTCAGTTCCATAGTAACGTCAATAAATCCCAAATTAGTCATAAGGGAACTTCGTTCTAAGTTATCCCCGTATTGAGAATATTTATTATATTATTTAAAGTGATGTTAAATTGGAAACAGTTCAAACAACAAGAATAGTATAATCAGAGCACCTATAATTTTGAATAAAAGTCATCCCTATTATTACCACAGCCCCCACGAAAGGGTTAAACCGTGAACTAAAGGACATTCACTATTACAACATTTCAATATAATAATCCGAGAATTTCCACCGATTGTTGCTCGAATATATTGCGTGTTCGTAGTGTAATTAGGGTCAACCATGCCGACAAAGTTCGTAAATTATGGAATTTAATCATTAAATTATACGTTTAAAGTGTACTTGAAATATTCATATACAGCAATATCTTACATAATGCGGCTTCAAACAGTCCGGATTAAGTTTTAATTGTTCTAAAAATAGTGTTTCTAAAAATTTCTCCTTTTTATGTAGTCGAATCGCTCGATTAGTCCGGTTCAATCTATTAGGGATATTGGCGGAACCGTACTTTACGAGGTTTTCTCTTCATATATCTGAGATTGAAATAAAAAGAAACTTTTTTTTTAAGAAGTTGTTTGTCTTTAAAACTAACAATGCAGAATTTGTATTTAGAATACATAGATTTTTAATGAAGCTACTTTTTCTCCAAAGTTAGGATACCAAATAAAATTATTAAATTCTATTATTAAATTTAAAAACCATAATTTACAATTTTATAAAAAAAAAACATGTTGAAACAATACTAAAGGTTATCATTTCTTGATCGACAATTAAGACGTTAAAAGTTTTTTTTAATATAAATTAACAGTATAAAACTTTAAATATAGTCCCATAAATTCTTTAAATCTACAATGCAGTCATTAAAAATCATTTATTTTCCTTAGGACTTCAAAATAATTGTGTTGTATTTCTGCATTATTTATTTAATTTTCAGTAATCTCGTTATTTACAAATCACAATTAGCAACGCGATTCTGCTGCACTGCAGTAATCTTTCAAGTGCATTGCGTTTTTTACCTTGAACTTATACTCATTTTTTATTTATATACTTTTATAAAATATTAATTTGTGGATTACAATCCGATTAACAATTACAAAAATCTGCTCACAAAGGCAACATTTAATTATAAATATAATATTTTGAATACAGTTGCATTAATATTACAAAAAAAAACTCTATCTATATTTAAATTTATATCGCATTTTCTGTTATATTATTTATTATTAAATAATATAACATTATATAGAGAATATATATATTTTTTAATTTGAAAGTAAATAATAGAAATTTCATTGTAACTATTAAAATAATACTCTAATTTTCGATATATAAATATCATCGATACGCAAATGACCCAGAATCATCTAACTAAGATCAATATATAATATTTCGTTATAAATGTACATAAACTATTAATAACTTGTACATTTCTCTAATAATTTCAAAAACAGAATGTTTTGAAAATTGTGTACAAAGCAGTAGTAAAAATATTATTAATATAATGTAAAATGAATTCGATCTTCACAAGACAATAGATATATTTAAATAATAGCACAAATTAGGGTGATAAGACGTTCCGATTTTTCTGGATTTGTCCATTTTTTAGTTTAGATGTCCCGATTTTTGAATGAACTGGTCTGGTCACCCTACCACAAATACAAAAATATAATAACATTGCATTCCATAATTACTTCCTATTATCAACTAAGCGTAATATTAAGGTGTACCAACTTGTATAAAGTTATCAAATATGAGAATATAAACTGCTGGTATGTATAAAGCTGTATCTATCTATACTATGTGTCATAAGAGACATAAATGTCTGTCAGACATACCAACAACTATTATTTATCATGGAGTACGATGATTGAACTGACAGTTTCAATTGTACGATATACTGCCATATGTACATAGTAGTTGGCACGCCTGACATACATTTATGTATAAAGTCACGCATAGTGTGCATTCAACATTAAATGAACATGATTTAATAATTTATGAATATACACAATAGGCTAATGACCGCAATATTTTTTATAAAAATTTATTGTATATTTAAAATGCTGAATTACCTTGAAAAATATTGTTCATATCAAATAATTTATGTCAGCTTAATACCCTCTTGAAGAAAAAAGGATACTTTTCTATTATATTTCTATAAAGCAAAAAATACCACTTTAGCAATAAAAAATAAATATTCAGTTTAATAAGAAAAAGCATCTTCTGAAAATGAAAGAACTGTTCAAAAGTGATTTGCTTAGAACTAATTATATAATTTTGTATACTTTTATTTTGCTGTATTAAAGTTTAGTTTTGAAATATTCACTATAGAATCCGTACTAATCGAAACCGGACTATACGAATTGTACAAACTTATATCTCTAAACATAATTATTTATATAAGGAAATCTTGTTTGTATTATATTATACCTTATAAACAAATAATGCTTGCAAGTTGTACATGACCAACTTTAAATTCTCCGAAGTTGCAACGCGATGTATTTCACGCTAGGGGATATATTCAACATTTATCAAGACACAATGTAACGTTGTAAATAAGTCGGAATAATAAATACATATAACAGTTGCTATATGAGAAACAGTACGTATACAAACAATAAAACGTAAATTGAATTTGGCGAAACGGCAAAGAATATTATGTGCACAGAATTCGACAATTAGGGTAATGGAATAATAGACAATTGAATTAACACCGAATACGAAATACGCATTCAGTGACGGAAATTGTAATATGAAAACGAACTGGAGGCAAAAACCATGCTTTTAAATAACCGGTTTTCGTATTCAATTATTTCAATAAAAAAAAACGGTTTTAACCAAATATATACAGTCGACTCTGCTTAATTGGGACACTGGTTAATCGAGACAGCCGCTTATTAGGGACAAGTGCTAAAGAACGGAAATAGAATCGAGCAAATAACAAATGGAACTTTGTATAATTGGCACACCCGCTTAATCGGGACAAATATAATAGATTTGTCCCAATTAAGCCGAGTCGACTAAAATGATTACATTTATTATTTAGTATTCGGATGTATCCGAAGTATGTAAGTTATTTAGCACCTATAAATATATAACAAAATAAAATATACTGGACGTAAAAACAGCGGTGAATATTTTTTCAAAAAAAACCGGTATTTAGAAACCGTTAAAACGAATGCTCCGGAATGCATATTACATTTGACCTTGCTCTCGATCGTATTCTCTTATTTTCTTTTTTCTCACAATTTTGCTTTAATTTTCCGCAGAGGTTTTCCATGTATGGATTTTCCTCTCGCACACGACATATCCCAATCGCTAATTTCCCCCGGCACATTCAATCACGCACGTTTCATGCAGCACGGATCCTTAAATCCCTGAAAGAAAGCAACGAAATTGAAAGAAAGAATGAAACAAAATAATAAGCGAATTGTCTGCGCCATTTATTAGCCTCGATGTGCTTTCTTTTTGTTTCG